TTCCTGAAAGCTCCATCCCTGCTCCCTGGGATGGCCCTGAGCTCAGACCCTTGCCCCTGCAGGAACAGGCCTGCTCTGAGTCAGGGCCACGTTCATTCACCCTGGGGAATGAGGGGAAAGGATGGTGGCCATAATAGTCCTGAGGACGGGCTTCAGAGGTGCATGCCATGTTGGGTCAAGCACTTGCCTCCGGGAGTCTGAGGCTGCCACTCTCAGTGCTTCTGGCTGTTGGGCCCCAGAGGCAGCTCTCATACTGGGCTTCTGGGGAAGTGGGAAGAGGTCAGGATGATTGCCCCCAGCTGGGGTGGAGAGCAGAGGTGCTGATAAGAAGAGTTTTGCTCAGTCCTCTCACCCTTGAGCCCTGCTGTCTGCTGGGACTGCAGAGGCCTACCTCCCGGGGCCCCCTTCATATGTGGGTACCCAGACGCCCTGGTGTGCTCAAGAAGACCCCAGCTGACTATTGTCTAGGCATTATTACTGCCCCTAAGGTGCCTCAGTCTGAACAACACTCCTTAACCCCAGGAGAAGCCTTCCTCTGGCCAGTATCCCAGCTAATGAAGTGGGGAATCCCAGGGAGCTGGGAGACCATTTTGGGGGGAGGTAGGAGGCCCCGGGAGCCTCAGCCTTCCTGAGCACTTATCTAGACCAGGTCCTTTACATGCTTCACATCCCTGAATCCTTCACCTCATTCCATGAGAAGGTATGCTTATCCTTACTTCGCAGTTGTGAAAAATGAGATTCAGAGAGGGAAGGCAACTTGCCAAGGTTGCACAGGAAGTAGGAGAACTGTGATTTCTAAGTCTTTTTGGCTTGAAACCCTTCTGTCTCTCTCTGACTCTCTGTGTCTGTCTCTGTCTTTGTCTCTGTCTGACTCTGTCCCTCTCTCTCCTTCACTTTCTTCCTTTCTCTCCCTCTCCTCTCCTTCTCCCTCTCTTTCTCATCTTTAATATGTGAAAACTTTTATGCTGGTTCTTTTATGATGTGGCTCTAGATCAATGTTCTCAACCTTCGTGCTATTGCTCCTTGGGGTGAAATCATTCCTTGTTGGGGGGGGGGGACTGTCCTGTGCATTGTAGTAAGTTTAGCAGCATCCCTGGCCTCTACCCACCAGATGTCAGAAGCACCTCTCCCAGTCATGATGATCGAAAATGCTTCCCCACAGTCCCAAATGTCCTCAGGAGCCCCAAGGAGCTAAATTGCCCTGGCTGGGGATCACTGATCTAGAACATGTAGAACGTGCCATTTTGTCCAATCTCAAGCCATATCTTCTGGCCAGGAGGCAGCAGCCACAATGGAAAACTTCATGCAGAGTCATTCAGACACTCTGGGCCACCCTTCTCCGCACCCCCACTCCCCATCTCCCACCAGCTCTCTATCACCACCAAGGTCGGGACTAGAGGGACATGAGCAAGGCACTTGCCTCCGTTGCAAAATTTAAGAGGGCACTAAAGAATTCAGTAGTCAAGAGAAACAATATTTTAATGTGATCTTTCTTAAAAATCAAGATACATGCAAAAAATCCACGATGAACAAAATAGCAAACTTTTAATCAATCAAGCTCCGGCCGAATTCACTGCAATCCAAGAAGAGGCTGGCAAGTTCTGAGCCCTGAATTTGCTGGATATCCCTGCCAAGAGCTAGAGGACTTGTTGGGATGGGTGTCTCAACTCTGTGCCTTCCTAGCTGGGCAATGCATATTTGATTATTGGATTCCAGTCCAGACCTCCAGTACCCAGAGCACCAGACAGGTAGCCCAGAAGGTAAAAAGGCCTGGGTCCTCCCCTCCTCTGCTCTCTCAGGGGACCTACAAATGGAGAAGTATCTGAGAGCTCATTTCTGTGCCCGATTGCAGAGTAACGGTCTTGCCCCTTATCTCCCCAGCCCAACGGACTTGACTCTCAGCTTCTCTTCTTGATTCAGGGACTGGGGACTGGGCCAATTCCAGGCCCCTAAAACCCAGTCTCCAGATTTTGAACTTGAGATCTCCCTAGTGGGAAGGCTAGACCCCTTCCCCATTTTTCTAACCCATCCTGGGGCCCAGCCAGGGGTATCATTTCATCAGTGTTTGGGGTGACCAGTAAAGTCAGCTAGCACCATGATAAGTTTTACATGTGTCTTTTCATTGGAAAGTCCATTTCATAGGTGAGGGAATGGCATCTCAGAGAGCTTAAGACACAGCAAGTCAGAGACAGGCCTTCCAGCCTCTTAGCCACCCCACGCCTCCCTTCCCTCTGCCTCCTCTCACAGACCTCCCTTCTCTAGAACTTGCCCCTCTCTGCATTCACCCCACTTTCTTTACACACAAACCCTGGGCAAAGACAGTGCATTGAGTTTAGTGACCTCCTCACTGACCACAGTGAAGCTTGTCTGATTCCAAAATAATATTTTTGAAGGTCCACCACAGACCAAACACTATGTCTCATTAAGGCTTTTATCTCCATGATCCTATGTACTTAATTTTTACAATCATCCTGCAAATTAGGTATTGTCATCTCTAGCCTCCATATCTACTGCTCGAGCTCAGAGAGGTTAAATGATTTGCCCAAGTAGACACAACTATTAAGAAGCGGCACGTGTGACCCTCATCTGTCGGACTCCCACATCCTTGCTTTCTTTGATAGGCCCAACTGTGTTAGCCCCAGACATTCTGGCCAACGTGTCCAGCATCCGTGAGACTCCAATCCTCTGGCTTACTGTTAGCATTTGTATTCATAGGGGTTTCAAACACTGCCTCTTATCTCAAGATTCAGCCCTGCCCCACACTGTACAGAGGGTGGGTCTCTCTGTCTTGAGGGGCAGTGTAGTGTGATGTGTCCTGGAATCAGGAGTCCAAAAGCAGCCCGTCTGTCACTCTGTTTTCTCATCCAAAAGCAGAGGCTCATAGCGGGACCTCCATATAATGTGCCAAACTCCCAGAACAGTGCCTGACTCATGGGGTTGGGAGGTGGCCCTTGTCAGGAAGCCAGGCCTGGAACTGTGGCCCCAATCAACAAATGAGCACTGTGTGTTGATTGAGTTCCTGCTCTGTGCTTTGCAGAGTGTAACGAACTCCAGGGATTCCGTCCCAAAAATGCAAGTTAGCTTCACAGAGCTTAGTTAGCATTTTGTTGGAGATGAAAAAATGACACACAAACCCACACACTTGGGGATGCAAGGCCAGTCCTCTTATTTCATTTTTTACTTTTGTATGACTTTTCTTGTGGACATATAACATGCATCCTATAAAGTGTACTGGAGGGTGAGCTGCTCAGGGAATTTTCAGAGTGAATGCACCCTTGGAGCCATGCCCAGATTAAGACCCAGAATGTTTCCAGGCACCCAAATGCCTCTTTCATGGCTCCTTGACATGAATCCCCCACAGGGGATCTCCATGGACTGGAAGGCCCACTTCTGTCACAACACACAGCCCCAACAGAAGAGATCGATGAGGACCAAGTCCACTTACCACTTAGCATAAAGCCTGGCACCTAGTAAATGCTTAATCAATGGGTAATAGTGTTACTCTTTATTATGTATATTGGAATAAAGGGAAGCCATGCCTTCCCACAGCAGAATATAGTCTATGAGGACAAGGAGTGAAAGTTCTACTTAAGCGGCATCCTCCCCAGCATGCAGCCCAAGGCTGAACCTGGAAGAACGTTCCAGAATTCCACTGTCTTTGAAGTCAGCAGATTGTCATAGAACAGCACTTATAATGGGCTTCAGTCTGAACTGTGCAGCCTTGAGTAAGCGGCTTCCCCAGTCCGGGCAACGCTCAAAAAATTCAGGTTCTTAATTTTCCTCTGGGATTCTAGAGCCCTATGTATTTGAGGAGTCCAGGAGGAAAAGGCGCTTTAGGGCATTGACACCTTATTTTCTGCTCCTCCTTGGTGGAGTGAGGATTCGGAATGCCTTCCTTCCCCACCTCTGACTGGGACTCCCTCCTGTCCCACTGGGTTGGAGTCCTACGTCCCAAGATGAACCCAAGGGTCAGGGAATGTGTCCTGCCTCTCCACAGTGCTCCATCCCTAGGTGACCCTGTCCTGGAAGCAGTCAGTGCTACCAGCCACAGGACCCTAATGGTTGAAAGAAGACACTCTGGAACAGATGGCCGAGTCACAACATTGGCCGCATTTAGAGGTTCTGCCTGGGCCAGTCTTTGCAAGGGCCATAACTTCTCTGAGCCTGGTTTTGTACAATGAGGTCATAATTATCGATCACACAAGGTCGCCTTTGCAAGGTGCCTGCCTCAGCTGGGGGTACTTTGTGGGTGTGCAATAAGCAGTAACAATTAGTAGACGTTGTTGTGCTTCTATTTTAAACAACAGTATGTTCCCGAATGGCCAGAAGCTGGGTCTTGTATTCCCAGGTCTTATAGAGAGTTGAACATGCTGTCTTCTATTGGGTTTCCCCAGAAACAGGCCCTGAGACAAGGATTTGAGGGCAAATAGCTTATTTGGGAGGTGCAGGACACTTGTAAGGAAGAGGAGAATTCAGATGGGTGACGGAAGACAGCCAATAACATGTGTGGTGCAAAGCCAGCTGCCTCAGGGGATACCTGGAAGTTGATCCCCCTGGGAAGCCCTGGGAAACAGTACCCAATACGTGCCTTAGAATTAGTCCACTTGCAGGGCAAGGGACCGGGGCACTCAGACTCCTGGTCCGCGTTGTAGACTGTTCCCAGGGACATGTTAATTTCCTGGCAGTTAAGGCGGCCACACTCTGTGGGAAGGAGAAAAGACCCTTGGGTGTGGAGATGCAAGCCCGGGACTTCGAGAGCCCTCCCGGAATGAAGAAACAGGTGGGGTCCTGAGAGCTCCTGCTAATCAGGTGCCAGGAACTGGGTGTCGTGTGAAAAGAGCTACCTGAGCCCATTCTTCCATCTTCAGGAAGGCCCCACGGACCCCACCCAGCCTCCTTGTTATGAGAGACCGCGGCGTGGGGAGGGGGCAGTCATTGCTGGGCAGAAAGTTCATGGGTGGGGCTAAGCAGAGAGAATCAATGACCAGAGGAAAAAGAAGTCAGTTTCAGGAAAGCAGTTTTATTGCTGGGGGCTGGAAGCAGGGGCAGCAGGCAGGGGAGGGGAGGCAGGTACCCCGGAGGGGGCGGCTCTGGACTCCTGGCTGGGTCCAGCTCAGTAGGAACAGATGAAGGGGAGGCGCCTGCAGCAGCGAGTTCGACACCAGTGACCTCCTGTGAAAGCAGAACAGGAAGGGACCTTCAGCCTCTGGTTTCCCCAGACTCAACCCCAACAGGGCCTCCCCCACCACCCCACCCCACCCCTGCCTCCATGGAGAGGGAGTCTCAAGACTCAGCAGGCCCCTCCCCGGGAGGCACAGGCCCCTCCCCTGGAGGCACCGGCCCCTCTCAGCACCTCTTCTGTGAGCCCCTCCTACCCCCCCACCGCCCCCCACCCCGCCCTCGGTCTTCCCATCCCTCGTCCCCACTCCCACCTCACCTCGGGTACACAGGGCCATACATCTGCCACCCCTGGCCTGGGGCTGGCCAGCAGCCCAGTATCCAAAGTTCCAGGAACTGCCGTCAACCCAGTGAAAGCGTTTCCAGGGTCCCTAGAGGAGGCAGGAGGAGAAGAGGTGGGCGGGGGCGAAGGGAGAGCAGAAAGGCAGAGCTGGAACTGTCCCACCCGGCATTTGCCCTTGACCACTGGGTCGTGATGGACACTGTCTTGGTCAACTGCAGTGCTGATCCACAGTGATCATCACCATCACATTCTATGCATGGCAGTGACACGCTCATCCTTCTGGCCCAAACAAGAGGTAAGCAGGAGTTGCAACCCCATCCTAGAGATGCAGAAACAGGCTCATGGTCTCACCCAGGTCATACAGACAGTCAGAAGCTGAGTAAAACTTGGCCCCAAACCTCCTCACTCTGAATCCTCGGCTCCTCCCAGTGCCTAGGCAGCCTCCTGGGTATCTCACCCCAGTTGTCCGTCAGTCCCCAGTTCTTCGGGGGATCAAAGGGGAAGCACAGACAGAGCTGCAGCAAGGTGAGCCCTGCCTGGGGTCCAGGAGAGCTTCCCACTTAGAGCTGGGACCCCTCTTACCCAGCCTCCGATCCAGATTTGGCCCTGGTTGAGCCCGCTGACTGAGCACTGGATCTGGCGACTGAAGTAGAAGTTGTGGATGGAGACGAGGTTGCCCCGGTAGCACCTCCGGCAAATAAACTGCAGGGCAGGGTAAGAGAGGAAGAATGGAGTGCCCCCCTCAAAGGAATTCATGTGACCTTAGTCTTGGGCCTCTAAATCTCCAAACTTCATCTTCTCCACCCCCATGCCCACCTCCACAGCCATTTGAAGGCTGGAGATCTGTTTCCACATGCCACTCCCTTCTGACCCTGACACCTGGGTGCGCCCCAGCCCCTGCTGACACCCCCAGGCTCTCCAGTGAGGCAAATAGTGATGCAGAGGCTGGAGACATCTGTCCCCGCCCCCACCCCAGGCCTCAGCCTCAGCCCCAGACCACTGACCTGAGCTTGAGAAAAACTCCTGGCCGTCCTCACTACGAGGAAGCGGTGACAGTTCTTGCACCCAGGGCTGTTCTCCAGTTTCACTGTGTCCTCTTCTTTAGGGCACTGAAAGTCCTCATCCTCCTTATCCAGGGCTGAGGCAGAGTCTACAGCCCTCTCCTCCTCAGGGGCATCTTCACTTCCCGAGTACCCCTCCTCCTCTTCCTCCAGCAGCGTCAGCTCCCCTGTAGGGGCCCCCTTTGCCTCATTTTCTGGCATCTCCCCACCCTGAGGCACAGCCTCATCTCCTAAGAATCAGAGTTAGACGTTACAGTCCCTGGCAGGGAGAAAGGCCAAGCGTCCCTTCTTCGCATCTACCCCTGTTTCTCCCCAGCATCGTGGACAGCGTCCGCCTTGACCTGGGCAACCGAGAGGTTCCTCAAAAAATTAAAAATAGAGCTACTATTGCACTACTCGGTATTTACCCCAAAGACACAGATGTAGTGAAAAGAAGGGCCAAATGCACCCCAATGTTCATGTCAGTAATAATAGAAGTCCGCAGTAGCCGAACTGTGGAAAGAGCCGAGATGTCCTTCAACAGATGAATGGATAAAGAAGATGTGGTCCATATATACAATGGACTATTATTCAGCCATCAGAAAGGATGAATACCCAACTTTCACATCAACATGGATGGGACTGGAGGAGATTATATTAAGTGAAATAAGTCAAGCAGAGAAAGTCAATTATCATATGGTTTCACTTACTTGTGGAACATAAGGAATAGCGTGGAGGACATTAGGAGCAGGAAGGGAAAAATGAAGGGGGGGAAAATCGGAGGGGGAGGTGAACCATTAGAGACTTTGGACTCGGGGAAACAAACTGAGGGTTTCAGAGGGGAGGGGGGTGGGGGAGATGGGTTAGCCCGGTGATGGGTATTAAGGAGGGCACGTACTACATGGAGCACTGGGTGCTATACCAAACAATGAATCGTGGAACACTACCTCAAAAACTAGTGATGTACTGTATGGTGACTAACATAACATAACAAAAAAAATGTGGGCTCTATCTAAGCAACTATATAAGCAAAAAGATATTGTTTAGACACTGGGTAAATAAAGATTGTTAATGACAAAACAAAAGAGAGGAACCTGGAACGGAGCCAACAGGAGGAGACCCCCCCCCCAACCTCCCATAAGAGCCCATGTTGTTAAGAGCAAGGACTTAGATTCAGGCAGCTGTGGGTTTGGGTACTAGTTCCATCACCTATTAGCTTTATTTTTTCATTTGTGATATGGGTACATGATAGTACATACCTCATGGAGATGCTATGATGTTTAGAAGAGATAATGCATAGGAAATGCTTAGCATGACACACTCAGTGAGCTCAAAGTAGAAGGAACCTATTATTATATTCATCATTGGTATTATGCAGAAAGGACAAAATCGAGAATGTCACGGTGGAACCGAGAGTGCAGACACAGTTGCCCTGGGGAGTCCCTTCAACTCCTGGTTCTAGAGCCTCTCTGCTCCTCTGGGTGTGCAAAGATCCTGATGTAGGGGAGCTTTGTAGCTCCGACCCCATCTACTCTAGAAAGGAGCAAAGTGGAGAAAGAGAGACTGAAGGCCAAGGAGACTTACTCAGATGGAGAGTTGAAACTGCCCCAAATAGAAGAGCCAGAAGTAGGGGGACTTTCATCTTGGCTTTTGTTCTGCAATGAAGAACCCAGTTAGTCACACACACACTCACACGTGCACACACACACGCACAACCCTTGGGAGTGGAGTGGAAAAAAGAGAAGGCATGACTAGAAGTCCCTGAAACTCCAGGATGCTGGGAACCTGTCTGAATGGAGTGAGGCCAGACCACGACAGGCAGCCGAGGCTGGCCTTCCTGTGGGTCTGCATATGAAGAAGGGAATATTACCTTTATTGGTTTGTACTGAACGGACCCCTCAGAGTCAATGAAATAAGAGAGAACCGAGAACCAGTGATTGTCAGCCTTCCCAGCAACGCTTAGATAGTGCTTCCCCGCCTCAAAGCTCTGAAAGCCACACACACTCCCATGTCCTCCACACTCTTCCCTCCCCAGACAAGGAGAGCTGTCACGTGCCTCAGAAGGAGTATGAAAGGCAAGGATGAGAAGAGAAGTCTTGCCCCTGCTGACCCCTGAAAGCCGCTACACACAGTCCCAGCTAGCCCTGCAGAACTTCTCAGCCTGGGCTGGGCGCCTCCCCGGAGGGTGAACACATACCCGAAATCAGCTCCACCACGACAGGGAGAGCGCTTACTTGCCCAGAGGTCTTCCTGGCTCCTGAGGAGTTCACAAAGCTCAGACTCTCCTTCTCTCCATCCCGCAGTGACATTTTATAGAGGGGTCTTGGAGGAAGTTCCCCAGAGAAAGGAGGGTTTCCCCAACCTGAAGGAAATGGGAGGGCTGATAAGAAGTGTTTCCTCACTTCCCTGGAGAGCCAATTCATCTGCTTCCAGATTCTCTCCTGCCACCCCTTTTAGGAGCCTGGGGGCCGTTCTGGGCCTGCCTTGAACCGGTGGTTCTTATCCTGGGCTGCACTTCAGAATCTCCCAGGGAGCTTTTCCAGAATACACGGCTCCTCTGCTTCACTAATGGGAACGTAAACTGCCACAGGGATTGGGGAAATAAATCTGTCAATATCTATTAAGATTAAAGGTGTGCATGTCACTTGCTCAATTTCACTCTTCAGACACTATCCTTTGGAAATAAAAGCACCTATAAGTAAGAACACTTTTACAAAGTTGCGTATTGCTTTCCCATTTGTAAAAACAAAAGTCTCCATGAAAACAAGGAGCTGACTCACCCCTGGATGGATAGGTGGTAAACAAAGGGGAGGGAAACAGGGCATTCCGGGCATGAGCAAAGGTGTAGTGAGGATGGAATGACCTTGGCATTAGCAAAGGACAGTGTCCTTTCTTGTGTAACTAAAGTTAACAGAGTACACATTGGAAAGAGGTGGGGAAAACAGAGTACATCCCATCTTTTTTTTTTTAAGATTTATTTATTTTAGAGAGAGAGAGAGTGAGCAGAGCGGGGGCAGGAGGAGAGGGAAAGAGGGAGGAAGCAGACTCCCCGCTGAGCATGGAGCCCGCCATGGGGCTCGATCCCATGACCCAGAGATCACGACTGGAGCCGAAATCAAGACCTGGTCGCTCAAACAACTGAGCCACCCAGGCGCCCCGAGGACATCCCATCTTGAGCCAAAGAATGGAGATATCCTTCCCCCCGTGTCCACTGACTTAAGGAGACAGAATGCAGGAACCCAGGACATGACTCAAAAACAGCGAAGACAAGGAGCTTTGAGCTGCATTCAGCCTCACCCCCGTCCCCAGGCCCCCCTGCAGGGCCACTTTGCCTGTTGGACAAAGCTATTACAGTCAGACAATGACCAGGTAGGGCCAATTCTCGGAAGCCAGTTGCTGCTCAGCCTCCCCAACCCTGAGGGAAGTCTCTCCTTTAAGCCACACAATCCAGGGTCTGAAATCCACAGCTTAGTGGCCCTAGAAATTCCATTTCGTCAACATCCACTGGGGCGTGAGAACAGCGGCTGAGAGTGTGGGTTCGGGACACTCTCCCGACAGACAGTCCAAGTCTGAATCTAGGGTCTACCACTTCATAGCTGTGTGACCCTGGCCACGTTCCTTAACCTCTCTGTACCTCATTATCATTGTTGATAAAGTGGGGACAACTATCCCTACCTCACTGGGTCGTCAGAAGGAACAAACGAGACAGTGTGTGGGTGGCGGACACGAGCCACCCAGCCCCCTCACTGCCTTCTGGTTTCTGGAATCCCACTTCCTGCGAATCTTGGTGGGGGGTAGGCCTCTTGTTCTTGAAAAGAAAGTGCCAAATAGATTCCCAGCCTCCCTTGCAGTGCTGGCATATGACTAGGGCTCTATCGAATAGGAGCATCCAGTCAAGACTTGGCATCTGGAGCTCGTGACCAAGAAGTGGGGGCCAAGAAGACCTCTCCCTTCTGGTGCAAGGGTGTAGACCCAGTTCCTGGATGGCAGTGACCACAGTGCTAGAGGGGAGGTCCGGGGTCCAGGCCCTACGCTGCCAGCCACAGGGCCTGAATCACAGCAGCAGCTGGGGCCTCCCCACACCCATCCTACAGCCTGGTTTTGGCCCCTGGTTCTCTTCCTGCAATTTTACTGAACTATCTCGTTTCCATTTAATAAATTTCATTTTTCTGCTCAGATCGCTGGGGGAGAGGTTCGTCTGCCTGCCACAGGGCCCTGACTGAGGCAGCATTTAACACTAGAACTAGCATGTAGTCACTGCTCAGTAAATGACAGCTACTCGTGTTCATAGGTCTAGAAGTGATCCAGGTCTTTGGGACTGACCCACATTAATCAAACTCTCAAGAGACTGATGTCTACATCTGGTGCCAGTGACATAAATTTAGGTTGACTTGAACCCACATGGGACCCACTTAGGGCCTTCTGACCCGCACATTCCCTCCCTGCCTCACAAGCTACAAATGTTGCTAAATTTGTGTCAATTTGTCATACAGCATAGAAGAGTAATAAGATGGTGTGGCACGTCAAGACCAGGGCCTTCCCAGGATGAAAGTTATAGTTAGTGCAGTTGGCGGAGGGGGTTGGCACGGGGCTTCCCAAAGGAATGGGCTTGAGGAGTTCCTGGAAAAGAATCCAGCGTCAGCAGGTCAGGAAATACGGGCAGAGAAAGAGAGGTTCGATCCAGGCCAGAGGTTCCCCCCACCCCCTCCCCCTTAGACCATAACAGGCTGGAAAGTTCCTTCTAGTTCCAAGCTCTGCCCCCACAGCGGTGATGTCCTCCGGGAGTTGGACCCCTGGGGCTGACCAACCGCCCGGTAACTGGGCTTGGCCAACATCCCTGTGGGGCAGATAAGATAAGAGGTGGTGAAAGGCCGGGGCGCCTGGGTGGCTCAGTTGGTTAAGCGACTGCCTTCAGCTCAGGTCATGATCCTGGAGTCCCTGGATCGAGTCCCGCATCGGGCTCCCT